TATATGTAAAGGAAATCACATTGCCGTCTAGACATACACATTAAAAACTGTGAGTTAAGAAAACACTTTATTCTTTATCCAAAGTAATCTAAATTCTTATATTCAAAGGATAACAGAAACCTATAGAGAAGTCATAATTCTGCATTTTGTTTGAATATAAGACTAGACATGAGTGTACAAATGAACACACTGTTCATATATATTTCAATACATAGACTTTTAATCATTTTATAAACTTTAGTGCAATTAGATAGCATTTACATTTTCTTCCCATGAGGAGAAAAAATAACTTGCTGGTTAGTTTGGCACAAAATTCCATTCTAATCTTTAAGGTACAAGAGAATATGTGACAACAGACTACATTTATTTATTTTTAAGGTCAAACTTCAGATGCTTGGGAATAAAAGAATAAGCGAATTGTTCCTTAAAAATATTCTGTATTTTAATAACATCTATAGGGAATGATGAATTGATTGAAAGTTTGGATATTTTTCCTTTTTTGCTGAGGTCATTATTTTCTGCCTCAAGCTTCTTTATTTTTAATAGAAATGGTCCAGCCTTTCATAGTTGAAAATCAGCACTCATTAAGTTGTGAATCACGGACACTTTAAAACAGAATTTATCTGTTATACAATTATTCTTTTAGCAAACCATTTTTGGGATACTATCACCATTTTAGAACTTGAGTCTTCTACATATTGCCCACTTCTTATTTAAATACAATCTACATACTATTTGACATTTTTTTTGGCTTAGGCGCTATTTTACTTAGGGAAATGAAAAATTAAAATCCCAAGTTTGTTATTAAAAGGTACTTCACTATGTCATAAAGCAAGAAGAGTGAAAATAATTCATTATTTCAGTCAGATTTCATTAAAATAAAATATGATATAAAAGAGAAATGACTTTTCCCCCTAAATACAGTAAAATAATGTCATGTCAGCAAATAAATATTTGCTGGAGACAAATGCCTTTCAATAAAGAAGTGTTTAGACTATATTTTCACTAAAATAAACCAAAAATGATAATTCATAACTGTCTTCATTAGATTGTAATGAGTGTACTAAAAATGAAATCCAAAATTGGTATATTTTATAGATCTTGTTCTCACTGTAGCTGGAGAATCTAAAAGGATCAAAGCACAATCTAGGATATTATATTGCAGTGAACATATAAAATGTGAATCCAAAATAATGTTTAATATTAATATTATAGTTGTTGACAATAAGAGAAATAGATGCACACATGAAAGTAGATAGGAAGTCTTTCAGCTTAAATACTGCCCAGTGATAAAAAGCTACAGAGGGAAAGGTTGGAATTGTTAGTTTTAATCATAATTTGGTTATTTAACCCTTTTGTGTTTTCACAAGGACTAGGTTAAGTGCTTCTGATGGTTATTTCCAGATTATTCTGTATTCCTGATAAATCATAGTGCTTATTATACTTTATTATAATTTGTAGTTTCCTGTATTGTCTGTTTGTAAAGTTAAGAGCAATGCCTACTTGCTCATGACTGCTTTCCTAGCACCACGCCAAGACTTACTTAATAAATGAATAAACCGTGTTGGGGTAGTAGCAAGGATTCAGTTTCATCATAAACATGAAGCTCAGAAAAGTTGAGCAACTTGTTTAATATAGTGTAGTTATTAAGTGGAGAGGCCAGCAATTAAATCCAGGTCTTCCATTATCAAGTCAAGTGTTTTTTCTAGTGCTGTTCATTGAAGGCTGTATTGTGTATCTGATGTAAAAAAAATATATATATTTGCACATATATCCTGTAAATGACAGGCTGCATGCCTAATCTGAAATGTAGAAGAGAAATTTCTATGGGGTTTGGCCAACACTAAAATCTACTAAATTACAAATATCACAACCAAGATGCAATAACAATAAAAATGTCAAACTCGACTTGTGTTCTAATTTTGTGCTGGATATCATTCCTGGGATGTCTCATGCATATTTCAAATTGAACACATTAAAAAAAATGTATACATTCTCCTTTCTTTTACCCTCAAAACTTGCTTCTTCTCTTTTATTCCTTAGTATAGTTACTAACATCATCATTTACCATATCTCAAATTAAAAACCTGACTTTCTTTTGGAAGTTTTCCTCTTGTCCTTAATTTTTATGCTAAAAGCTAAAAGAAATAATTCACCTAGAACAGATTTAAGTGCGAAAACCTATGGCCTTGAAATTTGACTCAGCAGGCAACAGCAAAAAAAAAAAGTTCATTTTTTAAAATAAAAAAGAACATTTTTATTCTGTGCATGACAGACTGCATGCTTAATCTGAAATGTAGAAGGGGAATATCTATGGGGTTTGGCCAACATTCAAATCAACTAAATTACAAATATCACAACCAAGATTTTGGATTTTGAAGTCACTGAATTAGATAATTCCTGTACTAATGAAGTTTTGTCTGCAAGTTCTTGATTGGTGACAACCGCCTTTGAAGTGGTCGATATTACTGAATATAATTCCCCAAATCTCCATGCAGCACAAAAGCTTTGTTTTATTATTTATCCTTTATGTCCTTGGTAAAATGTTACTTCTTAGAGAGGCATTTTTGATCATACTATCTAAATAAATAAGGTTTCCCTCCTATTATATTCTATCATTACAACTTTTTCATTTCTTCTTGCATGAATTTCAACTTATAATTATTAACTTACTGTAAGATTACAATTATTAATTATTTATGTTTATTTACCTATTTATTTTAATATACCATTGACTAAACTGTAAACTCCATGAGGGCAGAGATTATTATATCTGTCACTGATATAAAAGTATATATAAAAGCATCTAATTTAGATTCAATCAAACAGTCTTATAATTTGAGACATTTAATAGAAAGATTATTTTGGCTTTCTTCACTCCTTCAAAAAAGAAATCAATATTCAAACTAGCTTTTTATTATGTTAGTATTCTGATTCGACCATAATAGTTTAATTTTAAAATTACATCAAAGCAATAATTTTATCTTTGAGATATGTATTCTGGTGCTGGTAAAAATGATCTCAAAGAACAGAATCATATTCCTAGACAAAATTACAAAAAAAATTCCTAGAAAAAAAAGATATTCAAATACACTGTTTTATTTGAATTCATTGTCAGTTTAAACATCTAAGAGTTAACTAAAGAAAAAATATCAAAAGAAGCCACTTGCTTCTCTATGGTTTTGCAATAAACAAATTAATAAATATCAACATTTTTATGATTTCATTTTAGTAAATTTGGAAATATCAAGTGATTTTTAAAAACAGGATTTAATATTCCTGTTGTAATTACAAAGTTTTAAAAAACTCAAGAACTGGGCCGGCCGAGTGGCTCAGTTGGTTAAGAGCTCGCTCAAGAGTTTGAGCTCTGAGCAACAGCGGTTCGAGTCCGGCCCGAGCTGAGCTGCTGCTGAGCTGCCAACAGGTGGCAGGATGGCTCAGCTAAAAAAAAGAAAAAAAAACCAAAACTCAAGAACTACTATGTATAATTAAATTATGCTTAAAATATTTACGTTCACAGTATATTGTTAAGGAAAAAAAATGATATGCCTTGGATAGTTCTGTATTCCCCAGATTTAGGTGTTTCTGTAATACTCGGTGAATGGCTAAACATTAATAGTGACCTTAATTTTCAGCTTTAATTATTTCCCAGACTTTACAAATTAGGACAGCATGTACAATTAGAATTTAATGCAGTCAAACAATAAATTATTTTGTTTAAAAAATTCAAACGACAGGGATGAGACTCATCTATCCACTTTAAGTCTTGAGAACTCCATATTTCATTCAGTTGAAGATATAGCTGACTGGCACCTGAATGGCACATTTTATGACTAGAATGCTGTTACAATTTTTTCTTCATTGAAGATTTAGGATCTCAACTTTTTTAAACTATAAAATTAATATCAGTTATTTTTGATACAAGTTTAAAAACAATGATACACAACAGTAACACTGAAGACTTTGCTGAGAAGGTTGTACCATGGAATGTAAAAACAACTGTACTACACATAATCAAGAACTGCTTGAGATTACTTCTAGTTAAATCCAGTTATAACATTCATAAAACTCATAGAAAAGTTGGGATTGAGGAAGACAGCTATATAAGTCCTTAAATTTTATGACAGGAATAGTCACAATTTGAAAAATTACCTTAAGATCCCTAGAATAAATTTAGTGTATAACCTGATATCTAACATCATATCTTATTAATTAAGAAGGAATGTTACTGTTAACCTTTTGATGCCAATATCGGATTCATCACATAGAAAACTTGAAAGCACAAACAACTAACTGAACCAGGGAAGGGACATTCCAGAAGAAAGCAGTCACAGCTATAATTAAGCTTGCTATTTAATTTATTATATACATAATGATGTGAGGCATAAAATAAATGTTTAATCCTTATTTCCCCCATACATGATTCAGTACCTAGGAAAATTATTAAAAATAAATACTAAGATACTTCTTCCCTGTCGCAAAGGTTGGCATTAAAACTTTCTTTCTAATCAATTTAGATTTGTTTCCAAATATTAGGCAGCAACATTCCAAGTTAAGCATGTTTGAAAAAATTTGGAATGATACTAGAGCAGGGTGCTACCCCAGCCTGGACAAATTTTTAAAAATACTTTTGGTGACATTATTTTATTTTGTTAATCTTGCTGTTCATTGGCCAGAAATACATTAATCTTCTGCACAAACAAATAACTTCACATCTATACTGATCAGTATGCTAAAAAATAAGTCTACAACAAAGAAACAGGAACTACAGAAGATGATACCTATAGCTATAATGTAGGAGTAGGCATTTTGCATGAAATTTTTATTGTCCTACTGTTGGCCAAATATGACAATTTGTGAAACAGTAGGTGATAACTATCTTTTAGTCCATTAATTTTTCATTGTATTATCATGCATGCAATCCAACCTTGACAAGCAGAGGGAAATAATGGTTAGTTTTCCCAGATTCACCTAGTAAAGTGCCAAGGAACTGTACTTACTTTTGGTGTTGGGCAGGAAGCTGTAGAAAGGCGAGATGTAGCCTGAGCACGAGGCGATTCAGAAGGAGTAGTGCTGAGGGAAGCTGTGTCTCGTGGGAGCACCTGAACGCCACGAGAAATGATGGAGTCTGGAATCTGAAAAAGGGGAGTGAGCATGGTTTAATATTCTGAAAACACCAACAGTATGTACAATCAATACCCCCATCTTACTTTTATGTGTGTATGTGGGGGGAGGGGAATTCTTTGCTGCTCAGTGTTCATGTATTTGGTCTTCTGTACTGTTAGTTATAAACACATCCAACAATTTGGGATAGAATAGAAACCTTCAGATTTAAAATATTTTCCCTGGCCAAATAACATTTCTTTAAACTTTTTTATGAGCGTTCCCAACCATTGTGGTTAGGGGTAAAGTGTTTGGCATTCATATTATGGCCATGCCATTCAATAATTATTTATTTTCTATTTTCCTTTCAGCTCATTTTCCACCTTTCTTCACCCTCTCTGCTCCAAGCTGACCTGTATAGATAGAATCAACAAGCTATTTTGTGTAGTCTGGTTTCCAGTTGAGTTCAGCCAGTGGGAGGCACTATCAGGAAACTGAAGGGTTGGAAGAGAGTAAGGTCTGGTATTTATTCCCCTGGCTTCTTCTCTATCAGATCATTATTGATTGGCTAAGATCATAGCCTGTCAGATGACACTTGCTTATAGCTGTTTTCTGGATTCTACTAGCAGCTCCCTCCCTTTGCCCCATTAGGACTAGCAGTATTAACAGGTTCCACTATCACTAGTCCCAGGGCACTGTATTATTATGTCTGGTTGCTTTCCCTAACATTTTCCCAAACCTTTGTAAATACCACTCTTTTATTAAACTCTTCTCTGTTATCCATTTAAGTATGCTATAACTTCTGCTGGGACACGAATGGATATATTTTTCTAATTACCGTTTCCTTTATCTAAAAAATGAGGCTAATGATAGTATCTACCTCATTGGATTACTGCTGAAGGTTAAATAAGGTAATGTATATAAATTATCTAGCACTTCCAAGTAGTAGATACTTAATATTATACATGTGGGATATTATTATTGTTATTATTTTATCCCTATCAACATGGTAAAGACTAATGTAATTAAGTATCACTCAATGTGTACCAAAAATATACAAACATAAGGAGAAATAATGTGGATTATTTATTTTTTAAATCATTAATATTTATGTTGATGAAATTTATTATTTTGGGCTATGCACAATTTAATTCATGTTCTGGGCTACTACTAATAGACATAGGTCTTCTAATCTCAAAGTGAGAACTTGACCACTTTCAAGTTTTGTGCAGAAGAGGGGGAAACATATGATAAGAATAGGCAATTAGCATTCATCAACGAATATCACTTACTACTTGAAAAGAAGGAAGCAGCAGCCAGATTTTGTGACTAGAAAGGTACTCCTGATCTTATGCATCATCTCTTTCTCACAAAGGACATAATACTATTTCCACAGAAGCTCTTTTAGTTTTTCCATACCAACATCCTCAGTATCAATGGTACTGTCACCATTTCAGGGCTTGACAATTTATGTGATTTATGAAAAATATCCTGTAACTAGGATGAAAAGCAGTGGGAATTCTGAGAAGAAATATGGTTCCATCTGCCAGTACATCTGAGTACTAAATTGTGATAAATATTTTAAAGAAATGGAGGTAATCTAATTTAGAGGAGCTATATATCGCCATTTATTTTTTTGTATATATCGCCAGAAAAGTTCATCAACAAATAAACAAAAATTATAAAAAGCAGCAATAACATACTCTAGGGAAGGGGAAGAGTTTGATTTCCAGAGTTGCCACTTAAAATATTCAAAGCATTCAGTTTTCAACAAAAAATTATACGCTATGCAAAGAAACAAAAATAGTATGTACTATACATAAGGGAAAAAAGAAGAAACAGAAATTGTTCCTGAGAAAGTCTAGACATTGGACTGAGTAGATGACAATTTTAAATGAAGTATTTAAAATATACTCAAAGTGCTAAAAGAAACCATGGGAAAGAACTAAAGAAAGCATAGGAATGATGTCTTAGCAATAAGGTACGTCACTAATAAGACAGAAATCATAAAGAGAACCAACTAGAAATTCAAAAGTTGAAAAGTGTAACTAAAATTAAAAAAATCACTCGGGGAGTTGGGTTCAGCATGATATTTGAGCAAGAATAAAAAAGAATTAATGAATCATGAAGATATATCGATTTAGTATACCCAGTTTTAGGGAAAGTAAAAAGAATGAAGAAAAATAAATAGGGCTTAAGAAACCTCTGGGACATGAATAAGTACACGAAGACAGGTGTAATGGGAGTTCCAGAAGGGGAGGAAAGGGGCAGAGATAATATTTGAAAAAATAATGCCTGAAAACTTTCCAAATTTGAAGACATAAATCTACACATCCAAGAAGCTCAATAATCGCAAGATGAAAAAACTCAAAGAGATCTACAAGACACAATCAAGTTATCAAGGATGAAAGACAAAATCCTGAAAGCAGCAAGAGAAGCAACTCATACAAGGGATCCTCAATAAGAATAACAGCTGATTTCTCAACAAAAACCATAAGGATCAGTAGGCAGTGGATGACATATTCAAAATGCTGAAAGAAAAATAGTCTGTGAACCAAAAATTTTATATCTGGCAAAATATTTAAAAAATAAAGAAGAAATCAAGACATTTTCATAAACAAAAACTAAGAGAGGTCAATGCTAGCAGACCCACTCTACAATAAATGCTAAAGGTAGTCCAGGCTGAAATGAAAAAATACTACATAGTAATTTGGAATTCACATGAAGAAATAAACAACACTGGTACACTGCATAAGTAAATGTAAAAGTCGGTACTGTGTATATATATATAGTTTTTTTTTTGGTAAAGATTTTATTGAGGACTTGCGGGTGGGGAACAGTGTTGGGGAATTGGGGAGGGGGACCAGCCAAGTTGTTGTTCTTCAGTCTTCATTGTGGAGGGCGCCAGTTGCCATCTTGCTTCCCAACGGCAGCTTGTGGCCTCTAAGCTCAAGGTGCTTTGTTCAATCTTAGTTGTGGGTGGGTGTAGCCACCATCCCATGTGGGAGTCAAACCCAGCAGCCTTGTTGTTAAGAGCGCATGCTCTATCCACTGAGCCATCCGGGTGGCAGCAAGGTGGCAGAGTTCAGTCTTAGTTGTGGGTGAGCATAGCCTACCATCAAACAGACAATCTTGTTGTTACGCTAGCTGAGCCATCCTGCCACCTATTGGCAGCTAAGCGACAGCTCAGCTCAGGTGCAGCATCACTGGCCCATGTGGGAATCTAACTGGTGGCCCTGCTGCTCAGAGCTCGCGCTCTTAAGCCAACTCTTAACCAACTGAGCCACTGGGCCAGCCTGTCACTTTCTTCATTTTCTTACGTTTGCCTGATTGAAAACAAATAATCTGTCAAAGACCTAATATCCCCCTGAGATTTAGACAGTTATCTGTTGGCTCTCCTTAACAGGATTAGCTAACAACTCCCACACCAAACAAACTAAACCTCTATACTTTTATTCCTTCCTGGAGTTCTGTATTTTTGTCAGCTCTTCTACCTGCTCCAGCTTTGTGTCTGACTGTAGTATTTAATGCCTGTAGCTTAATATATTTACAGGAATCATTTACTCATTACAAGAATGTGGGGTGTTGCCTTCACATTACAGCCCAAAAAATCAAGGCTCCAGTGTTTGGTGCCCAGGACCACACACACCCCAATATTGTAAAATGCTTAGAAAGGCCCTGGCACAGGGAATGTATGCAATAAATGTTAGCCAGCCTTGCTCGAAGCCTGGTTCTCTTTACTCCACTAATCCCCAATTATGGCACAGATGGATTTCTTTGTTCAATAGTGGTGCTGGACTGAATTTAGACAAAACTCCATACGTGCAATAGAAATATTTCTGGTGACAAAAACCCTCATTTAAATCCCAGTTTAAACTTTAGTCTGGCTGCTATCTAGTTTATCACTAGTTACTACCAAATACCGCCCTTGGGTAGATCTGAGTGGCCTAATGTCTATTTAAGACGAACTTTTTAATAAAAAAAATTTTTTTCAAGGAGGGCGTAGCTCACAGTGGCCCATGTGGGGATCAAACCGGCAACCTTGGTGTTATCAGCACCATGCTCTAACCAACTGAGCAACCGGCCACCCCAAGACGAACTCTTTAATATCTTTGAAATCAGGAAGTATCTTAAAACTAGATTTAATGAGCTATGGTAACAGACTGTTTTTACTGTGTCCTGGGTTACAAATGTTATATAACCTTTGTACTTAATCCTCCAAATCGCTACCTGTTAATGTCATTATTACTATATTATCATCTGTAATCTTGCTCATTTTAAGGAAGAGGAAGTCAAAGCACTTTGAAGATAAGTCATTTGCCCCCATCACATAGCCGGTAATGGTGAACCTTAAAAGTAACCCTAAAGCAAGCAGTACCTTAGAATCCAATTTCAGAAGACTCAGCCTAGGGACAGTTCTATTTCATACAAAAAATCCCCAGAACAATTTCAAACATAAAAGGGTAAAGTAACCAAAACCAAACCAAAGATAAGGAAACAGGCTCAGCAAGGTTAAATAACTTGTCCAAGATTACACAGGCTATCAGAACCAGAATCCCAGGGCAGATGTCTTGCCTGCAAAGCAAAACCTATTTCTATCAAACCATGCTACCAACTGACATGTGGTAACGGGCCATATAAATACTTGTTGAATTAATGCTTGAAAAGAAAGTTGACAGGGAAGAGGGAAAAAATGTAAAAGATAAAAACGGAAAAGCAGTTCACGGGCAAGAAAAAAAGTAAACACACACACACACACACCCCTCAACAGTTTTCAAAGAAGAGCATTCAAAATGAGCCAAGGTGCTGGAACAAACTTTGCGCGAGTCCCACGCGGCACACCCGGGCTGGCCTGCGCGGAGTCTTCAGAGATGGTTCCCGTGGAGGCGGCCTTGGAGCCCAGCGGCCAACCTCTGCTGCCTCCTGCGCCCACGCCCTCTCCCGACCGCAAGTCACCTGGCCGGGCAACGCCCAATGAAGTCTGGAGGCCAGCTGTCTTTCCCCTTAGGGGTCTGCTGGATCATAGTGTGGA